TATAATGGGAATAACATGGAAATACGTGGGAATTCATGGGAATACGTGGGAATACATGGGAATACGTAGGAATACATGGGAATACATGGGAATACGTGGGAATACATGGGAATACGTGGGAATACATGGGAATACATGGGAATTCGTGGGAATACGTGGGAATACATGAGAATACATGGGAATACGTGGGGAGACGTTGGTATACGTGAGAAGAATACAAGGATATCTAAGATAACAGTATATACACGAAGTAAAGTCTTAGATGCACTATATGATGGCATACACCAAGTACCTACCGATTGGGCTCGTACGAAACCGCATCACCACCAAAAATCTAAGTTGAGCTACTCGGCCCCATGATCCCACGCGTAACGTGTGTATGGCCGCCGTGTGCTCCACTATATTACAAAGTGGCATACTATGTACTTTCTGCGCTTTTTAGCTGGTAAAAGAGCTTTTTATTCTGAAGTTTTCCTTTCCATAAGGCAGATGGAGTCATCCAAGTCGAGGAAGACTACTACCACTTCGTTAAGGTCTCTTTCTAACGATGGTAAACGTAAGATTGATTATGGGAAACCCAAATCTGAAAGAGGTCGGGAAGTCAGTCCGTCACGCCTTTATTCTGTTATTGGAACAGTAGGTTTATCACTCCTGATGTTTATGAGATGGTTCCTTGGCATTGTCCTCATCGGTCCAGTGCAACAAGTGAATAGAACGTTTGATCGTAATCAACAGTCGAAAAATTCCGCCTCCAACCAAGAGTCGAAACCTAAGTGTGTGCGCGCTTTTATACTCGATGATGTGGCGTCATGTGACAAACTTTTGCAATCCTACAGATCACAGTATCCTCTTAAATTGAATTTTCTTGGAATAGATTGCGAGTGGGTAAACAAGAAAGACCAAATAAACTCTCCGGTTGCATTATTACAGATTGCAACACCTTTGTCTGATTGCTTTCTTGTTCGCTTGTGTAAAATGAATGGGCAAATGCCTGAAACTGTGAGAGAGATTCTAGAAGATAAAAGCATCCTTAAATTTGGTGTTGGAATAATGGATGATGTCAAGAGACTGTCTGGGATGTGTGGTGTCAATGTGTCTGGCTGTATAGATCTGAGGCACGTGGTTCACAGATGCCATGAGGGGAGCCATGTCCAATCTAGGTATGTATACAAACACCCACCTTGGGGGCGGATCCAGAAATTTTTGATTGGGGGGGGGTCCAAACTTTGGTTCAGAAAGGACTGTTGGACCGAGGCAAATTACTTCTCCCCTACACCCCCTCCCACCAGTCGCGGTTGCACGTTATATTCCTTGGCCGCTTACCGTTTTACTTGGATTCATTAAAAAATCAGCCAGTTAAAAAGTGATATACGATCCTGTTGATGTAAGAATTTCAGTCTCAAATTTGTAAGCATCAGGTCTGATGGGGGGGGGTCCGGACCCCCCGGACCCTCCCCCTAGATCTGCCACTGCACCTCCACTCTCTCCTTTAACCCACTGACCCCTCAGAATGACTAGCATTTAGTTTCTTCCTACAATTTAACCTCTGAATCACATACTAGGGTTATCACCTTAATATGTGATTCAAAGTTTATGTTGTAAGGAGAAATTAAATGCTGATCAGGAGAATAAAGGAAATGATCACAAATTGAAAAAGCTCTTGATTGTTAAACAAATTCTCCTTGTCAGGATCTTGGGAAACACATAAAGAACAGTATATTACAGAATATACATGCTCATTTTAGAATGCAAAGGGTTGACCCCTTTTACTCTTTCAAAAGACATCTTTTGCTATTTCTTTACCAAGCTCAAAATTTACCATCTGACTTATTCTATGTACAAGACAGAATATATCCATAATAAATTAGGAAGCCTTGCTTTCTTTGTTCTTGGTGACTGACTGTTGTAAATGCCTGTTATCTCTCTGGTGGATAGAAATCATAAGATGAGCTTGGATGCCTTAGCCAAGAGAGTTCTTGGTGTGACCATGGACAAGTAATGGAGAATTCGCTGTGGTAACTGGGAAGCAGATGAGCTTGAAAGAAGGCAGATTGAGTATGCAATGAATGATGCCATGGTTGCAAGTCATATTTTTCTGAGACTAGTAAAATCAAAATTGGATGAAAGAAAAATGGTGAGATCTGTATTCACACCAGCTGGGGAATCTGTTAATGTTATAAAGAGTTTAAGCACATATTTTGGAGCTGTGTTGCCTGAAGAGAGCATCAGCATGGTTGGTAATCAGGAAACTAATTCAGGAATGCACTGCAGTAATTCTAGAATGTGTGATCATGATGAACAGAAGCTGGAAGAATACAACAATGGTTTTATTTTTGATACACAGGAGCTTGATGTTTTTAACTTTACAGCAGATCTAAGCAAGTTGGAGTCAGAACATGATGAAGACAAAGGATATCTTCATCAAGAAGAAGTCCTCTCTCTTCTACAGGATTCATTCTTTTGTCAAAGAGCAAGTTCACTCTGTCAAGGAGTTACAGATGTATCATTTAGGAATGTAAAAATAAGTACTGCAGCAAAGGATAAAAGCAAAAGGAAAGAAGGAGTGACAGAAATGTGTGACAGGAAACCTTACAAACGAGGCACTATTAGAAAATCTCCTCTTTACATGAACTGTATGCTTGCTGCTCCGGATGGATCAAGGTTGTGTACTTTGGATCGTAAGAAGGCAGACTGGTACATTGAAAAGGGATTTGGTAAGGAAAAACAGCCTACTTGTATTTCATGTAGCACATACCCGAGTGCAAGTTTTCCATAAGTAGGCTGCAAGACCTGCAGTAGTTGAAAAGCCTGTGAAAACACTCCTTGGAAAGGATAACATTTTTCATATGCTTTTCAAATGCTTTTCACATAATTGTCTCTTAGGGACTGGTCATTATTTATTGGGAGGGGGGGCTGGTGCAAATGGGGGGGCACCATTTTTTATGCATGGCTTAAAGGAGGGGTCATTCAAAAATATGCAAATGTTTTGCCTGGAAAAATGTTAAAAGCTGCATCTGGATGCCATAAAAAAATACAGCCTATTAAAATAGCTTTATACATAACCACCATAACCTTGGAAAATATGGAACAAAAAAGGCAAAGCTGGAAGCAATTAAAGAAAGTATCATCCAAGAACTTGCTAAACGCATTGAGAGAGAGGAGGATAGGAAGAGCGACAATCAGTCATCTTCTGATTCACTCAGTAGTGAATCAGAAGACGATTCAGAGGAAGAAGACTGTGTCCTTGCAGAGATTGATATTTCAAGCTCTGAAGAGGAAGAGGAGTCGACTGAAGAAGAAGAAATGATTGAGAGCACTGAGAACTTGAATGTCAATACAACAATTGTCTACACACGGTCTGGGCGAAGAGCAACTCAAATCCAAATTTAAGGTAGCTTTAAATAGAATGTCTATCAGTTGGACATGGTGACTTGATAAATACCTAGATACTTTTTGTTTCATGTATGCCCTAGGACAAGGGGAGATGGGAGGGGGGGTCAGCAAAAATCATGTTAAAGTAAAAGGGGGGGTCAGCAAAAATCAAGCATGGCATATTTTACATTGCACTGGCCCCCCCTCCTGATAAATAATGACCAGTCACTTACATAACAAATTTGACATGCACATGGAATTTTGTTCAGAAATAGAGTGAAAACTGTGCCTAGATTTCACCATAATGAGCACCTTCATACATACAGATTAGTGTCGAATTTGGCTCTCTATTTTCATTGACTTTCCACAGGCAAGCTGACAAACTTTGACCCTTACACAGTCCAGCTCAACTTTGAACCCTCAGGGAGGCCTGGGTCAGGGGATTCTTATTACCTCAATTTCAAAGACAACATATGTGTTGTGTGTGGAAGTGATAAGAGTTACATGAGGAAAAACATTGTTCCTCACGACTACCGCAGACACTTTCCATTGGTCATGAAGGATCATCATTCACATGATGTGTTACTTATGTGCCCGGAATGCCATCGTCTGTCCAATTTTCATGATGACAAGTTGAGGAAAGAACTGGAGAGGAACTACAATGCTCCTTTGGGTAAGAATCAAAGCAGTGAAAAATCTGATTCCTAACGGGCCACTGTTGTGATGCGGTGTTAGTGACTTGTCAGGAGAGCCAGCCAATTAAGGGTGAAAACAAAAGTGCTGTTTAAATTTAGCTAAAATCTGTTTTAATCGTTATCATCCCCAATTGGGTTTTGATCTTTGATGGTTTTTTGAGGCTTTTCATTTTGTTGTTTTTCTCTCTCACCAAACTAATACTGTGAGTGTTTGCAGGGCTTGTAATAATAATTTTCCAAAAAAACATTTCCTGTTTGTACCATCGTATAAGTCATTAACAGTCCCGCCATTCAGTTTTGGCTAAAAGTTCATGGAATTACGATACAACATTGATTTTTTTGGGCAGGGGAGGGGGAAGGGGGCAAATGGGTTAACTCAACGAGGGCAAAAGAGTTAAAACTGAAGTAATAGGGGGTTGAAAAGGTCGCTAGGTCAACAATTTTGTCGCCGCTGGTAATTGGGTTGTTTTAAAACCTCTGTTTTTTGGTTGATTTGTTTGGTTCACCATCTTTGTGTTTTGTCTTTCATGATACCAGGAAATGCAAGTGTGGCCCGCCTCTTTGAAGATCCTGATCTAAAGAAAGTCAACTCAGCTGCAAAAGCTTTGAATCATAATGCACATCAATTGCCTTTAGCTAGGCATCAACAACTCACTGGCATTGTCCAAGAACACTTTAATGTGTCTACCTTGACACCCGAAATAATTCAAGAAGCTGCGACGATGGAAACTCGGAAAGAGAATTCTAATTACATGTCGCATGGACAAGAAGTCGTGAAAAAGATCCGGGAGGAGGGCAAATTGCTCGAGTTTGAAAAAATGTGGAGACAGCACTTTCTGGACACGATGCGCCCGCGTCATCTGCCACCTTTGTGGTCAGTTGACCATCGTCATGACAGTTTAAAGGAAAGAATTGAGGATTTAAATGACGGTT